ACAATCTACCCACTCGAGTGTGCTCACTGTGATTCTATGCTTGCTCTATGAATACAAAGCATTTTGCAAATTCCAGAGCCTAAAATGTACAGATAATGCCAGAATTAATATAATTTCTACGGGACTATCCCTGGGTAAGGGTTGTATTCCAAGGAAGGTCCTTTCCCCACACTTTTACACTGCATTCAACATGCAATCCAATTCATGTGACCACCAGTCACCAATAAGCCATTTTTGCAGTCTGAACTGCACATGCCCATATAAAGGTTAATTGACATAAACAAACATACATCAGATACATACAATAGGTTTATGTTGACTGAACTTGGCTACAGGCATGTGCAGTTCAAACTACGAAATGGCTTATTGCGTCTATTGCCATACTTTACTTTAGGTGATTCTTTTATAAATGCAATTCAATGCTGTGAAGTTTTTTTAGGGATTTTATTTTAGGAATTATGCTCGTTCACAAATATAACAATGACTTATGTAGGCCTACCCACGTTGATGGATTAAATAATATAGAATTAGTTTTGAATTGGTATTATGTACAGATTACACACAGTACACTGTTTAAATAATAAAAGCCTTTATTTACAATGTACACTATACATCCAACATTATGTGGTCTCTGTCAGACTCAGTATTATTTGATAGTGTGAGGTTTAAGTTTAATGTTGTTCATTTTTTCTCATAGTCTTTTTATTTTCTGTAATTTGTTTGATTACTTCTATAACATTTACTAATTCTTTCTTTGGTGAATTGGAAATGACAGTACTATTAATAATAATAACTAGAAATTGCAAATTGCAAGTGAAGTGCTGCGAAGTACAACTGCATATAAATGTTCTTCGAACAAAATTATTTATGCGAGTCCAGTGAAAATAATGAATAATAAAACTATAACAAATAATATGAGACACGACACATTGTCTATATTAGAACACTTCTCATTGGGTAACAAAGTCGTAATTTTTCATTTTTGTCAAAAAGTGTCTATAGTGTGGTGAATTATGGTTTAGGTTTTTTTTAATAAAGTTTCAAAAATTTCTATGAGGCCTATGTGGAAAATGTAGTTGATTACCAAAGGTTACAATTTTTATTTTGAAGACTGCATGGTCTAGGAAGTGTACATTTTTTATGAGGCAAGTTTCCAAGGGCGGCTTTTCTAGGGGCGAGTTGACTGCCAAAGAGTGTTGCCAAAGTGCGAGCCAGCGTGTTATTTGATCACAAGTGCGAGACATATCACAAGTGTGAGCCAGCGAGCCATGACGTCACGACAATAGATAGAGACGTTAGCCAGTTGTGGGAGGTATCGGCTGAGATTTGTGGAGTACAATTCAAAAAACAACTATAGGTTTAATATGAATTATTGTGATGTTAAATAGACAATGTTAGCTATCAAAGAGCGACGTTATTTTTCATTGGGACCTTCATCCCTTCAAAGCTACTGTACAAGGCCTATACCATCCTAGCTAGTCTAGGCCTAGAGTAGGATAAGGCTAGCGCGACATGCGGACGTTGGTACGAGTAGGTTAGTCTACAAACGTCGCCTAAAGTAATTGATTTTACCCAGCAGAACGAAAGAAGGAAACTTCACATTTCAGTCGTCTTAGGCACTTGTTTTTTGACAAACAATGACCTTTCAGAGGTCAAATTGCTGCCAAGAATATGAATTGGCTGCTTCGCAGCAATAATATCTCAAATTTATATGGTGCCAATTCCAAACAAGACCAAAGGCGCAAAGCATGTGAAAAGCCACCGGAAAACAAATAGGTCTTAAGCTGTAACTTAAAGTTGCAAATAGAGTATAGAGGATAAAAGTCAATAACTCTTGAATAAAAATGATAAATTAATAAGGTAAACATAAAGGTGATCCCTGGCTACTGTACCAGCCTTATACCCGATTCACACGTACAAAAATCTTACCAAATGAAACAAAATGTAACCAAAAGTAACATTGTACGGCACATGTGAAAGTACCTCCGTGTAATATCCTTGTAAAATCTCGGAACGTCTCGGTAATCATTACCAGCCTCGCTGAGGCTGGTAAAGCTTCCGAGATGTAACATGGATGGATCTGCGCATGCGCAGAGATTTCAACACAACAACAATCTACTGTTTCACGGGGTTCTTTGAATTTTTTTCCTTCTGCATACGATTCTGATCCACTAGAAATAGATAGGCCTAGTTTTTCTCAATGATGAATGAATTACCCTTGTTATTGATGTTAATTAGTAATGGTAGAAGAAGAAGATATACGTAAAATGAACGTCGGGATGGTGTTAGTACTATTACTAGTATTACAAGAGTCGACAGAAACGTTGGAAGCTATGGCTAGTTTAATAGTAGTAGTACAGCAGTTGTTAAGGGGGGTATTGAT